TTCTTTTACAAGTCTTAAAAACTAACACTTTTACCTCCAGTAAATTATTGACACAGACAGGAATAAAGGTTATGCAAACAAATGAAGTAAAAAGTAATCTACACTTTTTTTATTGTGCCATTAGCCCCTCCCTCCCCCCACACAAATCACTATAGCCCTATTAGTTAAGGAGTGTGTCCTCACATGCCTTCATAATATTTAAGTAAGAAATATCATTTCTTGCAACACTTCAGCCTTTCAATGCTGGTGGAATGTGATGTGACTCAAATATACCTTCATTCAGCCATGCTGCAGGGAGAGTGTACATGTGTCCTAGTGGGTTGCATCAGTATCATTGGGTTGTCATGACAATGCCACAGATGAAGTTAAATAGAAATTCATTTTTGCTAATACCAGACTCTGCATATCAAGGTGCTTGCTGGGATAATTTTCTTTAAGACTCAGTCTTTAATATGTAGATTGCCATCTTCTATTTCTATGTTTGCTTGGCATTTTCCTGTGCTTTTCGGTGTTCTTATTGCTGCTTTTTATAAGTAGAAAAAGTTAATTCGATTAGACTTTATACCAATTAATTGTGTTAACATTATTCATGGGGCTGGGGCTGGGTTCAGGGGTAGAGCACTCGCCTCGCAGGTGTGAGGCCCTGGGTTTGATGTTCAGCATCACATAAAAATAAATAAGTGAAATAAAGGTATTGTGTCCAACTACAGCTAAAAAATAAATATTTTAAAAAAGAATTATTCATGTCTTTAAGATCCATATATTAAAAAGAGTCACAATCTGAAGCACTAGGTATTCAGAACATCCATATAAGAGACTTGGTGAGAGGACACTTCAGCTGGTTACATAAACTAGTCTCCTTCTGAAGACGCACTCCCAGGAAAGGAAATACTGAGTGAAGGGATATGACCATGTAACATTTTAATAGCTATAGTCAGATTACATCCCATCATAGAAGGGCTGCTGAAGTTACATTGCCACAAGAAATCTCTATTTGTAGCTGCTTCTCTGCACCCAGGATTCTCTGAGTGTTAGCATTTTGGTTAATCTCTTGTCTATTTGGCAAATTGAATCACACTGTTTCTTTTGTTAGTTTTCTTCTAATTTCTCAACTGACAATCTTAAGTTACCTTTCAGTTGATTATCAGCTATTTAATTTTTTTCCCCTACATCATTCTCAGATTCTGGAAACTATACTGTGCTTTTCTGTAGCCTGTAGTCTCCAAGCAACTTGGTTTGACATAGGTCTGTTACTGAAGACTTCCCTTAACATGCAAAAAGGATAAAAAATAGTCTCTCAAGTCAAAAGAACCTCCTGGGATAGCTTCTCTAAGCTCTGTCTTTAAAATGGCAAAGAAACAATATTTCTCTAAATGGACATCCCTATACCAGGAAATCAGACTTTGAGAAGCTTAGAAGAAATTCCATAGGTTCTGTCCTGGGTACTTCTCAGTTCTGACACATGCTGCTGATAAAGCATCTGATATCTGGATGCCTGTGTTTCCTCATCTCTACAATTGGATGTTTTTAAAGGACTCAGTTGGTTTAACGAATTCTTGGGGACTATTGATAAGTAGGTGCTGTTTCTCCACACCTGACAAGACACCTTGAAGTTACTGTGTAGACACTGCTTAACCATTATTTGAAACCTTATCAATTTTCTTTTAGAAACTTATAACATTTTTATCATGGGCACTCATGTCATCCATGTGCCAAAATAAAATATGTCAACTCTTCCTTGTCTGCAATCCAGAGTCCAATTCTCTGAGGTTTCATGGTAGTGACAATAATTATATGCCCTCCTTGGCCTGCTTTTGCTCTGTGCCCTCATTAAAAACAAACAAACAAACAAACAAACAAAAACCTGCTGCATGCCTCTATAACCCATGTCCCTCTTTGTTTTGAAACACAGTGTTGTAGGGACAAAGGAGGTAAGGCACCGAAGATAGCAGGAAACAGTTTTATTTGGCTGTAGCCAGGTTCAGAGGGTATAGCCTTTGCTATAATCAATCAATCCCCTGAACCCCGAGTTCAGGGAGTTTATAGTTTTATATCCAGCCTGTAAGGGGAGGAGCGCAGAAGTTCACAGCCTGCAGAAGTTCACATAAAAGCAGCTTTTTCTTTCACTGTTCTGGGCATGTTAACTCTTCAAGGTCAACACCTGAGACAGGGAGAGCTTCATCTCCCCTTTCTTTCTTCCCCCTGCCAGCTGTTACCATGGGCCCATTTGTAACTTATCTTAAAAATGTAGAAATCTCTGTGAAGCCCAGCTCAAGGCCAGAGGTACTATACTGGGTACGTTTGTGAAAACTACTAAGGGGGTGTCCAGCACCTGGAGTGCTGGTATCTTCTCGGCCAGTGGCCAAGTAAACAGGTGACATGAAAATAGGAAGTTTATCTACATTGGACTCTTTTGCTGACAGTCCTAAAATCAGCCATGGTGAAGAGGGCTTTTCTGTGGAGAAAGGGGGTGCCGCTTCAATAGGATTTAGTGGTCTTTGCATCCTTCCAGATTAGCTTGTCCTATAATTGATAAACCCTGAATTGCTTACCATGTACTCAATATCAACCTATATTTTGGTATTTAAAGAGGTGCTGAGGTGAATTCTAGATGGTGTTTGCCCTTGATGTAACCCTGGATCCTGGAATGGGAACCTCAAGGTGACACAGATACATGAGAATGTTCTGTTTGTGTTATGTTATATAATACATAGGACTGGATTTTACATACATATATCACAAATCCTGCTTTTCTGAATAATTGTCACTTTCCAAGTCTGATGAAAATAAGGGATGTTGCAAGAATTTTGTGATCTGGTGGAGGGATTTTGGCTTTAGAATCAGACACAGTTCATCTTGAGTCCCAGCCCAGCTCTTTATTAGTTTTGGGAGTTTGTCCATAGGAGGAAACAGATATTACATCCTGGTCATTAGTTCTAAACCCCAATTGTGAGATAAGTTTGAATTTAATGTATTTAAACAATAGAGTCAAGGCCATGGAAGATCATGGTGTATGTGACCCCAAGGTCTTCAGACCCCATCTCCTTGTGTTTGCTATCTGATATCTGCAATGGGAAAGAACCTGTGATAAGAATCAAGTGGGAAAGACTAATCTACTTTTGGACACTTCCTGGTTGGAAGTTCCTGTTCCCATGGAGGGCATTGTTCTCCTACTTTTGGGGCCTGAGGAGAAATATTAGGAGACCAGGCCCTTGACTCACTGATATCAGGGGACCCATAGCTCTGAAAACTTGCCTACTGTGAACTGAGATATGACAGAGAGATTCACACTTGAGGGTGTAGTTCTCAAAATGTTACTGCTGTTTACCGGTGTGGAGTTCTTGCTTCCCCAATGCTGAAGTATAACACCAGAGAAGCACATGGAGGCAAGTTTAGAGTGGAAAGTAGAAGCTTTATTTATTAAAGCTTTATTTATTAAAGGACAGCAGAAAAGACTTCTCCGCGGAGGAAGAAGGGGATTCAAGAGGTGGAATCCAAGTTAGGGGGAGACCTTCCCTCTTTTATAGCTAAGGTCTTCTTTACCCTTTCCTGTGTTGTTCCTGGGCTTTGTTCTGTTATCTTGTAGTGATATAATGTAGGTGGGAAGACCCAAAAGGTGAGGGGCAGATGGGCCAGAGAAGTAATCTGGGCAGGAAGGGCCTGGGGCAGCTTTTGATTAGCACCTCCCAGTATGCTGGGACCTGCTTCATTAACATTTTTTTTAGAATGGGCTCTGGGCCTTGGGAACATTAACCTTTCAATTTCCCCAAGTGCTGCTCTGCTTTCCTGGGCTCCATTCTCAACATGGCCTTCATTTTCAATTTTACTCAATATTAGACCTGATTTACCTAACTACACTAACTACCGATCTTTAAATCTGGCTTCAAAAACACATACTTTATTAGTAGTATTTTATTAGTCACCTAAATGTACTATGCTGGGTTATGTTATTCAAATCAATTTCAGCTGTTTCTTTTTCCATTTGATAGACCCAACCTGATCTTTTCTTAAAATTGGGAGCCATCTCGCCACAAAGCCATGAAAAGATAATTTTACCTTTACTATAAATTACTGCAAATTCTGAACCTGCTTGGAATGCCTGCCTGTGCCTTGAACTCACCCCTGCCTGGCTCTCTGACCAGATAGCAGCCCTCTCTGAAACTTTAATGACACCTCATAAATATTGGCCTTCCCTGGCCAGATAACGACCCTCTCTGAGGCTCTAATGATCCTCATAAATTCTGATGTTGGGTCCAGCAAAAAATGTAAACTACCATTAGTGTGATGTTTGTCAGAGTTCTGTTATCTGTAACCTCCCTTTGTGTAACTTTCTGGGCTATAAAGCTGGGCTGCAGGAAAGCTGCTGCTATTGTCTTGTTTCCAGCGGTTTTGGGTGGGAGAAGCAGGCTGGCCGGTCAAAATAATAAGCTTGCTTTACTTTGATTTTAATTGGAGTCAGTGGTCTCTTCTTGCATCCTGGTCTAACACATTGTTAATGTGAATAATAGAAATATTTAAATTTCCCTTGTGCCTTACATGCTGTTTTCATTGAATGTTGTCGCTTTAGGAGGTTGCTTCCCAGTTCAATCTGCCTCCTAAGAAGAGCAGAAAAGTTAAATGAAATTTCATAGTAATTGTCACTATATCACTTTCAACCATGAATAATATACAGGCATATGTAATCCATAAACGGAAATTACATTATATGCAAGGTTAAATGAAAATGTTATGCTGGTTGGAGGCTCTGGGGTGCAATTCCCAGACCTCGGAAAGAAAAAAACACACACAAAAAAACCCAACAACAAACCACGATGCAACCAAGAACCTGCCATTCTGGCCTTATTCATGCCTGGATTGGACATAATTCCATATCAATCAAAAAGAAGGCTTACTGGGCTCATACTGGGGGTGGGTGGGCACCCTCCGATGCCCTGTCCAATCAGGAGCACTTCCTGACAACTGTCCAATCCTGTGTGCAGCCAGCGAGAAGGGGGCGGGCTTCCTCGATCTCTCCGGGTCCTTTTCTTCGGGTCCGCCATTCCTACTGTTCAGCTGCAGGATCGTCTGTTACGTTTGGAGTCCCCTGTTGTGGGTGCTCCGCGGGTGCTGTGCGGGTGCTGAAGATCCCTGGGTCGTAGGCTTGGTTTCTGAGCACGGGGAAATGGTGAGTGTGGCGTGGCATCCGGAGCCTGAGAGGGAGGCGGGCGGCGGGCGGCGGGCGGCGGGCGGCAGGGGGAGGGGAAGCAGAGACTGTTGGAACCGTGGCTGTGGCGGGAACGGGAGCCGGCCGACGCGACTGCAGGCAATCTCGCTCTGCTCTGCAGGCTTGAGCCTTCCCAGTACCCCCCCTCAGTCCCACTGGCCCTCCAGATGGCGAGTGTGCCCGGGACAGAACCGCGAACAGCCTCCCCCCCCCCCCCCCCCGGGCACCCTCAGCTCCCGGTTCTAACCCTATCTGGCCGCCTTGTGCCTGCAGCCAGTGTCTTCCCAGATGGTGGTGGCTGACTGGGGGCACGATTATCTTCATCCAGTCTCCACCTGCGGGTTTCCCGCGGGAGAGGAGGTGTAGGATATAGGGAACTCGCTTCTTCCTGAGCTAGCTCGTTTGCATTTTTACTTCATTTTTTTTTCTTTACTTTCCTTTTGTTTGTTACTGGACCATTGACCGGAGGGATACTTTAACCACTGAGCTACGTTTCTGGTACTTTTTATTTATTTATTTATTTTTTAGAAGTAGTCGGAAACAATACCCTTATTTTGTTTGTTTATTTTTATGTGGTGCTGAGGGTCGAACCCAGGGCCTTGCACTTGCTGGAGGAGCACTCTACCGCTGAGCCACAATCCCACCCCCCGCCTTTTTTTTTTTTTTTTTTTTTTTTTAATTATTTGAGACAGAGTCTAGCTAAGTTTCTGAGACTGGCCTTGTTATGGTTTGATTTCTCTAGACTTCTCTATCGCTATTAAATATATAATTCTAACATACCTGCAAATGGATTCGTGTGTGGATTTTGTTTATATTGTTATTCCTTGATGATTAACATAATGGTATAGTTTCATAATATGCATGGATGTCAAGTAAGGACTTCTCTCCAAAGCATATTTGGAGATCTTTATCATTAATTAGATGGTGAAACATTTCTAGGTCTCTGTAGCTCCTGTTTTGTTTAATGGTGTCTGTTTATGATCCAGAAACACACTGTTTTTGCTATTATGGCTCTGTGGCATAAATTGAAGTCAGATGTTTTGAGGTTTTCGGGTTTACAGTTTACAGAATTGCTTGCTATTCCATAAGACTCTGAGGGTTTTTTTTTTTCTTCTAGTTATGAGAATAATAATATTGTTATTTTGATCAAGATTATATCCCATCTGTAGGTGGCTTTAAGTAATCTGATGGCTTTTTTTCAGTCTATAGATGGCTTTAGTTTATTTAGTTTATTTAATGTAGATGGCTTTAGTTTATCTGTAGATGATTTTAATGTTTTCAGTGTTTTGTAATTTTTCTCATGGAAATTTTTACTTTCTTTTGTTAGACTTATTGCTAAGCATTTTTAAGTTATTTGCAATAAAACAACTTTTGGATTTATTTCTCAACAGATTCATTATTGTGGGCAAAAGTTATTGATTTTCATACTGATTTATTTATTCTGTAACTTTGATGCATTTGTTTATCACCAGTAGGAATCTTCTGGTGGAAACATTAGGATTTTCTAAGTTTAACCTTATGTCATCTGTAGACATATAATTTGACTTCTTCCTTTCCTATTTGTATCCCTTTAATTTTTGCGTCTTGCCTAAAGCTTCAGCTAAATTTATGTATTTATTGTACAGGAGTGGTGGGGGTGGGTGTCCTTTCTATTTTTCATCATTTAAAGGCACTGCATTCAGCTCTTCCCTATTCAGTAGAAAGCTGGCATTAGATTTGTTATGTAGCCTTTGATGTTGAAGCAATTTCCTTCTATTCACAGTTTCTTCAGATTATATATCTGGATGTGATATTGAATTTTGTCAAAGGCTTTTTTTTTTTTTTTTTTGCATCTATTGAGATGATCATGTGAATTTTATATTTGTATTTATGTGGTGTATTATATGTATATTGATTTGTGCTTGTTGCAGTCCTGCAATAAAAACAAGTTTATCATGCTCTATGATCTTTGTAATGTGCTATTAAATATGATTTGGTTTGCTATCACATTGAGGGGGTATTCATCTAAGTTCATTAGTTATATTGGTTTGTCATTTTCTTCCCTCAAGAAGTGTTCTTATCTTGCTTTGGTTTTTGTTTGGTAGTACTGGGGATTAAACCCAGTACCATTCAACTCATACAATCCCAGTTCTTTTGATTTTATTTTGAGATTAAGTGTTAAGTTTTGGATGTGAGGTGTCCCCCAAATGCTCACATGCGAGACAATGCAAGAAGGTTCAGAGAGGAATTGATTGGATTGTGAAAGCCTTAACCCTATCAGTGAATTAATTCTTGCATGGGATTAACTGAGTTGTCACTGGAGGTAATAGTGCATTGGGGTCAGGGCTTTGGGGTATATATTTATGTCTGGTAAGTGGAGTTTTTCTCTTTGTTTTCTCATCACCATGTGAGCTGTTTTCCTCTGTCACACTCTTTCTTTCCACCAAGATGTTCTGCTTCACTTTGAGCCCTGAGGAATGAAACTGGCTTTCTATGGACTAAAACCTCTAAGACTGTGAGCCCTCAAATAAACTCTTAATCCTCTATAAATGTGCTCGTTCTTTTAGTCACAGTGGTGAAATAGCTAACTAAAATGCAAGGTCTTGCTAAGTTACTGAGGCTGGCTTTGAACTTGTGATCTTCCTGGCTCAGCCTCCCAAATTTTTGGGATTATAGGTATGCAACACAGTTTGGGATTATAGGTATGCAACACAGCTGGTCTCCTGCCTGGTTTTTAAAATCATGATGATACTGGCTTCATAGAATGAATTGGGGAGTGTTTCTTATTTTTCTAGTTCGAGGAGTAACTTGAGGAGCATTGTGTTGATTCCTCCTAATGTTCTGGTAAAAGTTAGTATTGAAGTCATCTTGTCCAGGAGATTCTGTGTTGAAAAGCTTGGTATTATTGCTTTATTTGCATTACTTTTTTTTTTTTTTTTGCGGGGTGGGGATGTACTGGGGATTGAACTCAGGGGCACTCGACCACTGAGCCATATCCCTAGCCCTATTTTGTATTTTATTAGAGACAGAGTCTCACTGAGTTTCTTAGCGCCTTGCTAAATTGCTGAGGCTGCCTTTGGATTCATGATCCTTCTGCCTCTGCCCCCCTAGCTGCTGGGATTACAGGCATGTGCCACTGTGCCCAGCTGCATTGAATTTTATTGTTATTTTATGTTTTCAATATGCAGTTTGTTAACTTTGGTAGGTCATGCATGCCTTGAAATTTAACCATTTCTTCCAGATTTTCCAGTGTATTAGAATATGAGTTTTCTAAATAGTCCCTGATAATCCTTTCAATTGCATTGGCCTCTGTAGTGATATTGCTTCTTTCATCTCTAATTTTATGAATTTCTCTTTCCTATGATTTGTTTGTCTAAGGGTTTATTCATTTCATTAATGTTTTTCAAAGAACCAACTAGTTTCTTCATCAATCCTTTGTACTCTTTTTATTCTCTATTTCATCTCTTATCTTTATTCTTTCCTTATACTCAGTTGGAGAATAATTTGATTTTTGTCTTTATAAGACTAACAGATGTATTACTAGGTTATTTTGTTTGTGTCTTTCTGGTATTTTATGTAGGAACTCATAACTGCATTTTCTTTTTTTAGAACTTCCTTCATGGTATCCCAGAAATTCTGTATATAGTATTTCTATTGTTTGAATCTATGATTTTAAAAATTTCTCTCCTTATTTATTTTATGACATACACTCAAAAGTATTCAATCGCCATGTGATTGTATAGTATCTTTAATTTTTCTTGCTACTGATTTCAGGCAATAATGACCTGACAAGATACAAAGCATTGGTTGCACATTTTTCTCTGTTAGGACTTCCTTTGTGGCCTTCAATATGACCTATTTTGGAGAGAGTTCCATGAGCATGTTAAAATAAAGTGTGGTCACCTACTGTAAATTGAAATATTTTATAAGTACTTGTTAAGTCAATTTTGTATATAGTATGCTTTAGCTGCAGGCCATATTTTTTTCCTCAAAAATTAGGTCTGATTTTGTAATTGAAAGGTAAATTTGGTCATGTTTAATCAGTTTCATATGATCGTAGTGAACTTGGAATAAAAGCTGTGGCAAACCTATGAGAGTTGGACTTTGAAAAAGTGGAGTTGGTAATAAAATTATAGACAGAAAGATGGCTATCTAAATTGGATTTTGTCATGAACATATCTGCATATTTGTAAGGACAATCTAAAAATAAGTTGTCAAATATTTTCTTTGTTCTCTACTTATTTGTCAGGGTTGTGTTTTCCTATTATTGTTTGTCAGTGTGGCTTATTTCTCATAGAGGTGACTTGTACAATTGCTTCTGTATGAATATGGAAATGTCAGATGACAGCATTTTTTGTTTGTTTATCCCAGCACAAGGTTTTGTGTAGGTGTGTGGTTGATACAAATGAAGGCCTATGTTCTAGTGTAGATTAGAGTATTATCAACCCTAAGCTGGAGCCAATGCAAGAATGAGGAGACTGTAAAGTCCAGAGGACTGAATATTTGGTGAGATTGATGACATTGATCATTAGAGAAACAAGGTTTGATTTTGGATTAGATATGCAAGCGATTATACAAGACATAAATGCAAAATAGTACAAAGTTTTGGCTGAACAATGGAATTCTTAACATGTGTTAAGAGTATTCCTTAAGATATGAGAAGATTATTTTAATAATAATAAATGGCTTAAAACAATAACTACGAGAAAGAGTGACGATGTTCTTCCAAAAATAAAGATTAGAAACATACATTTGTGTCGGGTTTATGACTCTGTGGTATAGAAATTTCCTTGCTTGTGAGGTAACCTTAGTGTAATTCCTACCACTTCCAAAATAACAACAACAAATTAAAAAAAGAATTTTTTTAATTACAACATTTAGTTATACATATTAATTGTGTTTATTTTGCCAAAATTATACATGGTTCAATTTGATTTTTCCCTTTTAATCCTCATTACCTTCTTTTCTCTTCCATCTTTCCT